AAAGTAATCGGATGGATTAAATTGTGATGGATTAGCAATGTCTGCCATGAGCAAGGGCAGCAATGGAGGGTGGGTGGGTGTGATTTAAAGCTGCAGGCTACACCTCTCAGCACCTGTGTTTCTCTCTCACCCTGAGCTTCAAAGGCCTGAGGCTGTCTCTGTGGCTGAGATGGCATCAGAACCCAGATCCAAGGTGTGATGTGCCAGCAAATGCCTAACAGCTAGGTCTCTCGTGGTGGTGTAAAAATGAATGCTCTGCAGCTTTTACTAATTTCTGTGCTGAGAATATTCCTAGGTGGCCCAATTTCAGCTGCCAGTATGAAGTTACTGAGCATCAAGTTAGGAAAAGATAGGCACAGACGGCTTGCCCAGATGGCACCCACTCTACCACCCCAGGCTCCGCTAATGTGGGGGCTGCTCTGGGCAGAGCACTGTCTGCAGTTCAGGGCCACTTCCCAGCCATGAGCCACTGGCAAGCCACACTCCCCTTGCCTCTGCCTCTTCGCCCACAAATGGGGTCTAGCTGTGAGGAGGATGCTGTGAGGGGAGGAAGTGTTTGTCACTCACAAAGTGTGAGTTGTCGCATCTGCTCCCAGGGCATCAAATCCAAACTGCTGCTCGGCCCCAGTAATTGGCCTCAGCTCTCTCTGTTGGCCTGGGTGTGGGCCCCAGGGCTCTAAGAGAAGGCTTGGTTATCTCTTTTCCCATGTATGGCTGACTCAGCCTGCCCTGGGGACAGGACCAGGGATCTAACCTCCCTGCACTTTGCCTGAGCTTGCCTAACAGACACTTTAGACCACTGAGCCATCTTGCCGGCCTCTGGTTGTTCCTTTTGATGTTGATCTCAAAGGCCAGACTCTGTCTCAAAGCTCATGTAGCTTCCTTGGCATTGGCAGCTGCCAGTGACCACCTTGGTGAAGCTGCTTAGGTAGCCCTTCTCTGCTGTTCTGTGAGGTCAAGGCTGCTCCTCAGATTCCCCCTTTGGCACCTCCTGGCTTTGGGATCATGGTCCCCGGGGGCCAACTGTGTCCGTGCCATAGCAGCCACGGCCTGGGTCTCAGCACTAGCTCAGATGATGGTGAGGTCTGTGAGCTCGTGCTCTCTGGGCCTCACCTCTTCATCTCAGGAGGAGTCGCAGGAGCTACTTCCTTGGATCGGTGGCAGTCTGAATGGAGCGCATGCCTAAAGGGTCTTGTACAGTGGGAGGGGCAAAGCAGACTTGACATGTAAACTATGACTTGTCCTAACAAGTTCAGGATTGGGAGGCAGAACAGGCAAAATGGTAAGAGAATGAGATCCAAATGTTGACCAATGATAGCTCAAGTAAGGGCCAGGCCTCAATAGAGGGGTGCAGGTGGAGCGGGAGCTGCAGAGCCTGCAGTGCCCCTTGGTCCTGCATGAGGTTTCTCATCCCCAATACTATGGCAATTGGGGCTGGATCTGTCTCTGCTGTGGGGGGCTCTGTGCATTCTCTATGTAGCAGCACCCCTGGCCTGCACTCACTGGAGACCGGTAGCAGCCTCCAAGTTGTGACTCCCAAAAGTGTCTCTGGACATTGACAATGGTCCCTTAGATGGGCATGGTCCCTTGTTCCATGAACAGAAGAGCATCTGCCTTGTGGAGATGGGTCGGGCACATGGTGGCTAAGGGCAGGTGGTCAGCTGTGAGCATCCTGGCAGCAGCTGGGGAGGCCCATGGGCCAGGGCCTGGACCCCCGCTGCTGGGAGCCCACAGTCGATCAGGACCAGAATGTGGCTCATGTGACGTTATGCCCGGAGCACGCTGTGACTCTGTTCCGCCTGCCTAGGACTAGCACTGGATCCAGGGACTGGGTAGGACTAGGCCAGCAACTTCTACTTTGAGGCTCCTCCTGACCTCAGCCTGGAGAGCCCAGGCTTTGGAGGAAGGGCCCAGGGTCAAGTCTAGGCTCTGCCCTATGGAAATTTTTAAAAATTTCTCAGAGCAAGTATTCAACCAGCATAGAGGCACATGCCTGCAATCCCAGAGCTCTGGTGGACTGAGGCAGGAGGATCACAAGTTGGAACCCAGCCTGAGAAGCTTAGCTACTTAGCAAGATTGTGCTTCAAATTTTTTTAAAAAAATTAAAAGGCCTGGGGATATGGCGCAGCGGGAAGGCCCTGGGTCCAGTCCCCAGTGCAGCAGAACTAAAAACAGTGTTGTCAAGAGGAAAAAAATTTCAAAGAGGGGCAAAAAAAAAAAACCCTCAAAAACTAAAAAGCAAAGGAAATAAGTTATTAAAGGAAAAGACAACAATATTTACTTCTAATTTTGCTATTGAGCCATGTTCCTTGATCTTGCTCTCTGGCTGCATAGATTCCGGATTGTTCAATGGGTTTGTAATAAACTATAAATAAAAATAGCTGTCATCTATAATACCATGCAAAGACTAACAGTGGGAAAAGCTTAACATTGAGAAAAATCACTTTTATGTTGCTACATAACAAAAAGGACTACATAGAATTACAAAATAAAAACCAAGTGCTGCCTTAGGCAGGTTGCTTAACCTCTAAGGCTCAGACCTCCCATCCATGGGGTTCAACTTCGTAAGATTTTTTGAAGGTTAATGGTGGCAAAGTTTCCTTGCTTTACCTGCTTGCTACCTTCCGGGCACTCAGTGAATGTTGAAGGAAGGAAGGACCGAGTGCTCTCACAGCCAGGCTTCCTTTCCAAATCCTCACCTTTGGTTCAGTTCGCTAGAAATTCTCTCCCTTTCTCATCAGGACTTCATTCAGCACCTGTCACCTGGTAGATAACGGAGCTCCAAGCCAGGCTTTCTTTCCCCAGGGGGCAATGATTACGCATCATTCATCTTTCCATAGCCCATAGCCCAGCACAGCAACCAACGCATTCCTATGTTGAATGAATGAATGAATGAATGAATGAATGAATGAATGAATGAATGAATGAATGAATGCACAAAAAAAGGCAGTTAGAAAGGGCACACCGAGAATGCTGACTGCCCCAGGATTCTTCAAGGATCCTTTCTTAAGTGGCCATTTAGGAGAAGCACAGCTGCCTTACTCAGAGAAGACAGGTCACACAGGGTGGGGACAGGAAGCTGGTAGGTGATGTCTAATCAAGAAGGTGCCCATGCTGGGGAGCTTCTGTACACCCTTCCCTGACCCCCAGGCCTTCCTGGTGGCCAGGACCATGTTCCTAACTCCCTGCTTCGAGGGAAGGCTGCTCCCGAGGCCACACCAGCCTCAGATGAGTGACCTGAGGACAGACTGTGATTCAGTGACTGGAGATGGTGGGCACCCAAACAGGGCCCGGGAGGACCAGGTCTGAAGGCCACTGAGGGGAGCTGGGCTGCTCTTTGAGTGACTGGCGCAGAGACGCACAGCAGCACTGCCAGTTACTAGCTGCTTGGCCCCAGCGGAGTTGCTCAGGCTTTCCCTGCCTCACTTTCCTCATCCACACACAGAGACAGCAGAACCAACTTCTTCAGGGACAGCCCTTAGAACTGTGTGCGACACCTAGGAAGGACTTAGTGGAAAGCGCAGTGACAATGGTGGTGATGCAAGACCCATTCTGCTCTAAGTCCTGTGTCCGCTGCTGTACAACTGAGCCTGCTACAGCAGGGAGAAGCCCTCATCGGGGCTCTGGCCTGTGGCACCACAGGGTCTTCCCCAGAACATCTGCCTTCCAAGTGGCTGAGCTGCCTCAAATCTTCACAGGCTGAACTTTGCCGGCAGCCTCTGTCTCCACTCCGCCCCATCAAGGATTGAACTCAGGCCCTTGCGCTTGCCAGGGAGGTGCTTATCCACTGAGCCATCTCCCCGGCCCACCTCGTTCCAGTGACATTCCCCTGTCCCTCAGCCTAATCCTCCAGATGCTCCCTTCCCCAGCCCTGGCTTGTTCTGGAACCCTGGGTACAGATCTGCCCATCAAGCTGGGGCTTCCCAGCCTGCACCATACCTCTTGGCCTTCTCTGGTTTTTAATTCCAAATACTTTGCTCCCCTTTCATGTGACAGCCTGCAGGAGGCCCAGGTGAGATAGGCTTTCCCAAGGAAGGCCACAAGGACAGGGATGAGGACTCAAAGACAGGAGGAAGCCAGCTTTGCAAACGTGAGAAGCGAGAGGCACATAAAAATGTCTTTATTGGCCTAACTCAGGAGTGGCTCCCAGGGCAACATGGCCAGGTCACCAGGGGCCAGACAGATGCACAAGCCCAGCTGGAAACCCCAGGGCTCCTGGAGTCCAGGCCCCTGTCCTGCAGCAGCATCTCCGGTTCCCTGTCTCCGGCTGCTCCTTTCTTCACCACCCTCTGCCCTGCTCCCCTTGCTCCTCCCTGGAATGCTTGGATCTGTTTTTGTCTGCCTTTGCCAGTAATGAGATAGGGCTGCCCCCAGGGAAAGTGAGCACAGGAGGAGGGAGGCACGGGGAGGGCTGGGCCCAAGGCCGAGGGGTGGGCGTTGAGAAAGCAGCAGTGGGCGGCAGACCCAGGAGGGCAGGATGCCTGAGTCACCGCTTAACAGAAACCAGGGCAGGCGGCAGACATCAGATGGGGACCCGCAGGAGAGGCCTCCCCCCGCCCTGCTCCTTCCTGCTTGTTTTCCATTGAGTGTCCTGGGAACCCTGCTGGACAGCAGTCGGGCTGACAAACCCTGTCGCCTCAGGTTGCGATTCGGACCTTTCCGCTGTGCGTCGTTCTGGGCCATACCCGTGTGGAACAACGCAAATTCAGCAAATCCCCAGGGACGGGTGGTACAGGGTGCAGAGCTGAGGCCTGAGGGTCACAGCCAGGCACCCCACAGGACCCAGACCAAGTGGGTTTCTCATCCAGTAATGGAAATAAGGAGATGAAAACGGGGGGGCGGGGGGGGGGAGCAGTTACACTGGTGAAAGTGAGCCAGCAAAACACCCATGTGGAAGCCCAGATGGAAACCCCTCCTCCCAGGGGCTCTCCGGTGCTAACCTCCCCGCCGCCCCCTGCTGGCAGCAGTGACACTGACGGGACATTTTCTCTCTCTTGCAGGACCTCCTGTAAGTACTCACTCTGGAGCAGTGACCTGTGTCTGAAGGCCTGTGTCATCTCCCGGTAACGGGGCACTGGGAGGGCTACTGTGTAGACTGCTTCTTGGTCCAAATAGGGGAGAAGACCGCTGCACCCGTCTCCCTGCACCTCTACGGGGCAAGGTAGTGATTGTCCGAGGCAAAGTGGGCCCTAATTTCACTCTGCAAGGCTGGTCTGCCCTGGTCAGACCAGCTCTTTGTGTCCCAGGGGAGCATCAAGCACCAGAAGGGGGAACTAGAAGTGGGAAAGGTTTGCTCCCTATAACATCCCTCCCCTCTGAGGAAGCGGATCAGGGAGCAGCCGCCAGTGTGGACAGCTCAGGGTCCCTGATGTCCACACCCCTGAGCGGGCAGCTCCGCCCTGGCCAAGTCACTTGGGGCAAGTGGAGCTGGGTGGCAGTGCCAGTTGTGTGCAAGAGTATTGCTGGTTAGCTGGAAATGACACATAAATTAGGCAGCATGTCACCCTCCTTTCTAGGCCTCACTCCCAGGGTGGGCGGGGAAGAGAGCCATTTCCAAAGAATCTGAGACAAGCCCAAGGAGACATCTCCCTCCCGAGGTAATGGATCCAGAGAGCCGGGCACGTGTGCTCCAAGGGACAGCATTTGATACCCCAACAAAAGACCCAGAGGGCACTGGGGGAGCCCTCGATCAGATCGTTCTCAAGGTTACTGAAATCCACCCCATCCTCGTCCCTCTCTCTGAGAAGTCATTTCCATCTGTGAGAGCCGCCTGCCTGACTTCTAATGAGACCATTGTTTGTATTCCATCGGTGCCCCCAAATACCCTCAAACCCACTCAGGACCCTGCCAGGACCCCGTCTGCTAGGGCACAGCGAGAGCAAAACCCTGCCAGTCCCTGCAAAGGGGAAGAGTCATTTGTTGTGACATTTGGGCTTTTCAAATGGCAATTCTTGCCATCCATCTTCTGCAATAAACTGCCACAGGGAACCCACAGGTCACCTGCTAGAGCTAGACCGCGTGTCCCCCTTCCTCCACACACCCCACCCCAAGGGCAGCCTAGTACTGCCAGCTCAGAGCCTCTGCCTGACTTGAGGGTCCTCCCTCCACAGGAGCTCCCCGACCCACCTGTTCCAGGCTCAGTAGTATGGGAGCAAATAAAGAAAGAAGGGGGGACAGGAGTTGCTATTCCCAGTCTCTGTCTACCTGGCCACAGACTGAGCCATGGAGCAAGGCGCAGGGCCCTGACAGCTTTGCTTACATTTGAGCCTGAATCAGAAGAGAAGCCCTGAACTTGCCAAGCACTAGCCAGAGGACTCAGGCAGGAAGGAGTGAGCTGCTGGCCACGTGGAACCCCCATCCACCTGTTCCCTCCACTCGCTGCACAAGAAGAACAAAGATGCTGGTGCTCGGAGGAGGGGCCTGTGCTGCCCTCAGGACGACTCTGTCTTCCCTCCAGAAGAACCAAGTTCCCTTGAACACAAGATCGGCACACGCCATGGAAGATGGGTTGATGTTGCCGTGGAGGCCACGAAAGGCGGCCGAGTTGGGGCCTCCACTGCCCCATCGGCACATGCTGGGCAGGCATTGCTAAGCAACTGGGAGGGGTTTTCACATAACTTCTTAGTCAATTACTCCCAACCCATTGGAACCAGGACTCCAGCTGACATCATTGGCATCCCTGGGTCAGGTTTGTGGGGACTTTATTAATACCGGAGCTGTGACCCTGAAGCAGATGACCAAGGCAGGCAGGGTCACCTCCTTCTCTGGAGGACAATCAGGAAATGGTTCACATCAGCTGCCAGGGTGGCTGCATGTGATCCTTGTTGAACTGCAAGCTAACACAGCATGTGTGGGATGCTGGCTGGTTTCCATAAGGATGAGTACTGAAGTCCTAATGCTGTCACTTCTAGTTGTGTGATTCAGCAATTATTTATCCTCTCTCTGCCTCAGTTTCCTCATCTGCTAAATGGGAATGACAGCAGTGCTGTAGTCAGGGCTTACAAGGGAAACAGTTTAATACAGGACACACAATTTGTAGGATTACTTTATAGTAATCACCAAAAATGTCAAGTACAAAAAAGTGTAGGTATGGGCCGGCCAAATAGCACAGCGGATTAAAGTTCCTGCAAGCAGGCTCAGGGGCTGGAGGTTTGATCCCCAGGCCTGCTGTGTTGGCCCTGCCTCCTGAGGCATGCTGAGACAGCAATTGAGACTGGGCATGGTGGCGCACGCCTGTAATCCCAGCTCTTGGGAGGCTGTAAACAGGCGGATCACTACGAGTTAGATGCAGTTATGAGACCCTGAACACCCTGTAGACCCTTCCCTAAAATACAACAACAAAAAAACCAAAAATGAAGGAAATCTGTCCACACATTAGAGACCCAAAGAATCCAGCTGAGGCCTGGATCCCACAACAATGTCCTGCATGAATCCAGCTGAAGATCTAGAGCTCATGCAATGCCCAACCTGAATCCAACCAGAGCCCACAACAGCGCCTCTTGCAGGCCTGTTTCATGGATCTGTACTGGGAAGGCCCCAGGTCAGCAGTAGAAGCTAGAAAGTCTGTGCCAGCGGGATGAAGGACCCAGGAAGCAACAGTCAAATAGGGACCAGCACTCCCCAAACACAGCCATCCTCAGCGACAACAAGGTCCCAACTCCTCCAACGATGAAAACAGCCAAGTTCACATCAGGAAAGCCCACATGACAAACTTCTCCAGGACACTGAGCAGTGCACCATCCTCCCCTCCAGCGCCAGGAAGTGGTGCTCACAGTAAAGACCAGGGCTCCCCAAAGTGAACCCTTCACATTCTCAGCAGCAACAAGGTCCCAAGGTCCTTTGATGATAAGAACAGCCAGATTCATATCAGGAAGGCCGGTATGACAAGCGCCTCCAGGAGAACCAAGAGCCCCCAAGAAGGGGGATAATTTACAAACCAGATAAGGAAAGGTGGGGCAGGGGGCACATGTAGAAAAGGCAAGAAACTTGGCTGCGATTTTCCTTGGTCAGCAGAGCAAAGAAGAAAGCAGAGTTTTTGCAAGACTGGGGCTGCCTTGAGGCAGGAGTGCACTGGCTTTGGAGGACGCCTGGCTTTTCCTGGGCCCGAGGCCTGAGACAGTTCATCCCACATGTCCTCCTAAGCCTCACACAAGCTGGATGGTGTGATTTGTGAGTACACTGCAGCAGTGCATAAAATGCCCCCATTCGTGTACCCGGCAGACCCACTAGGGGAGGTTGGAATCCTTCCCCAGCCCTATCCACCCCTGGGATGCTCAGCCTCTCTAGGGTGGTACTGGGGTTAGGCAGACGGGAAGGGAAAGTGGGGATGACCTTAGATCTGCTGCCATGTCCTTTCAAGGCCTGGAACCCTGTGGCGTTGGGCTGTCAGTTCATTCACCCCCAGGGAGGTGTCCAGGAGGACCAGGAGCTCAGCACCTCTGAGGCCCTCGAGCTCACATCTTAGTGCTAAGGGGCAAAATCATGCAGAAAGATAGGATGAGTCCTGACCCCATGAGGGTCCCCAGCAGCTGGAGCCCTGCATCACCAATGGGAAGCTGCCCTCGGGCCAAATGCACAGTTGGGGATGCTTACTCCTGAGTTGGTCTCAGTATCCTGCAGGGATGGATAGACTTGTCTCCCAGGGACAAGTGGGACCCACGCCTGGCTCTGCCCTTGGTCCACAGGAAGAGCAGATAGCTGGATGGAGAGATGCCCCTTAGGAGAACTAGCGGGGCCAGCTCCATGGGCCTCCCTGCATGTCCTCTTCCCTGACACAAGGGTGACAACAACCAGCACCTACCTAGGTTTTCCATGGTACAGTCCCTGCCCTCAAGGCCTTACACACACTGTCCCCTTGAATCTTAAAAGATTAATGAGGATTGTTCTTACATTTTCAAGATGATGAAGAGTTGGAAGCCGCAGGAAGCTAGGAAATTGATCAAATGTGTGTAGGTGGGACTGGGCTGTTTATAGCTGGGCATATTAATATGACATTACTTTTTATGTCTCATGGTTACACTTAATTTATTTTTGAAGGCCAATTGTTGAACTATCAATTTGCTAGCTTCCCTATCACTGATAATCTTCCTTTGGTGACGCAGAACAGTTTTGGGCTAAATGTCCCTCATCCCCACAATGGAAACAAATGAGCCCACATGATGGAGCCAAGACTTAAGCTCAGGTGGGTGGGCTTTCTAGTTTAGGAACTAGAAAGTACAGTCCTTCTTATGGGGACACTCCGCCCTGTCCCAGATCCTTCCATGCCAGGGCAGGCATTCGGCTCCCAATGGTCTCCCCAGGGCTTCTCCCCTCTGTGCAAGGTGCCCTTGATGTCCCAGGAGGCAGTTACAGGGCAGTTTCTCAAGCTCCTTCTTGTATTACATCCACCAAGAAATCAGGATCCACTGCTAAAACGACATTTCCTCAGGATTTGCTTGGTTCTTGAGCTTCCTCTTGTGTGTATGGCTACAATGATAATTCATTACAAGTACCTTTTGTTGAATGCTTTCCTCTTTGCAACTGGATTTCAGATCCATTTGCTTTCTCTTTTTTTGTTTTTTCTTTTCTTTCTTTCTTTCTTTTTTTTTTTTTTTTTTTTGTATGTATGTATTTAGTACAGGGTCTATAGCATCTCACTACACAGATCGGATTTATAGTGATCCTCCTGTTTTCAGCCTCCCCAGCGCTGGGATTACAGGCAGGCACCACCACGCCCAGTCTTAGCATGCCCCAGGGGCAGCACCAGTGCAGCATACCTGGGATCGAACCCTGGTCCTTGTGTCTGCCTAAGCAGGTGCTTTAATCCGCTGAGCTATCTGGCCGGCCCAACACCTATTTTCTTGAGTCCTTAGTTTATGCCCGGAATTGTGCCATAGTCTTGAATAAAGGGTGGAAGACAGAGCTGTGGTCAGAGGAAACAGCTCTGTGGAGTCTCAGGGTCCTCCCTGTACACCAAGACCCAGTACCCATTCTCCTGCCCCTCTCCCATCTCTACTTACCCCTTGTGGAGTGGGTGGTTTGACTCTGGTCAGAGAACTCAAAGGAAGTCCAATAGCCTCCTTCCTGATATTTTAGGGAAGCCCCCAATCCCCGCTCCCCATATACCACAGTCACAAGCTGTGGGCTCAGGTGTGGCAGGTCCGGCAGGAACATCCTAGTGGATGACAGGTTCTGCCCAGGTTTTTCCTGTGTGGTGAGACAGGGGAAGCTCTGTAAATCCTCATGAGATGGGTGGTGCTGTCACATGACATCCCACAGAAAAGTAGACTCTTAAAAACATTGTGGTGTGTCCATATTCGCCAGATCTGTCACCACATAACCTCTGCCTCTTTTCCAAAGTCTAAACGACCTTGAAGGGTAAACATTATGAATTGACTTGGGACACTGAGGCAGCCACCACAGCACAACTGGAGACACTAAGGAGGACTTCCAGAATCACTTTGGAAGGTGACAAGAACAATGGGATGTGTTCAAAGTGAGGGAGAGGATTGTGAGTGGGATTAATGGCAGTGTGCCTTTTACTGTGAGAATTCTCTGTGACATTCACCTTACCCCAGCAGCCCCCAGAGAACAGTGATCTACCGAAGGTCACCCGGTGGGCTAGGGTGGCACTGAAGGGTTGGCTCATTGCATAACTGCTTGACCGTGTAAACATTACTCTTCCCTCCTTTATCCAGGGCCCCAATGGAAGACCTGGGCTCCCTGTAAGTAACTGTTTCATTTCTTCTTCGCT